AGTAACAAAGACCCCAATTCTAATCCTACTTCCGCCACTTACTAGCTATCTGATATTGGGCATCAACTTCTGTGAGCTTCAGGACTCTCATCAGTCAAATGAGCCTAAAATAGTCTCTTCACCACATAATGTTATAAGAATTTGGGGAGAAATTGTGAAGTGTTCAGCTCAGCACTTCTAGGCATTATACCTCTAGTTTAGGTGGTTGATAAATTGTACCTAAAATGTAATTGCCTGAATTGGAAAAATAGAAGAAACTATTTCAGTATATCTCTATTAACAGGAATGTTTCAAAAAAAACCAATCCAGTTGACTAACTTATCTACATAAAAATCACTGCCAGAGAAGCAAACAAAAGCTATCCACATTGTCAGTGGGAAAAGATATAATCCAGAGCCCCTAAGACTCAATGGTTATTTACCTGAGGAGATAGCCATGATTAAAAAAAACCAAAAAACAAAACAAAAAAAAAACCTCACATACAGCCACGCAGAGCTGAGTCTCAGAGGCTGTAAAAAGAGGACTTGGTGATAAGGACCACTCAGGCTCCAAGCCTGACTGTTACTGAGTTAGGACTTATCTTCTACCTACTTCCCCAAAAGATCAGAGGCAGATTATAGTTAAGAGTCACATACTCAGTAGACTCATTTAAATAAGAATATGAGAATCAGAGGAATGTAATGAGGGTGAGGTAATAGGTGAGATCTGTTTCCATTGAAAATAAAATTTAGTTCTGGGTATCCAGAGTTAAGTCAAAAAAGCAAACCTACAGACTGTCATTAGGCAGTGGAAGAATCAGGATCAATCAGAGGAGGCAAATTTTCCTAGAACTAAACTCAAACTTTCATCATCAGAAACTGATCTTAGAGGCTGGGCACGGTGGCTCACACCTGTAATCCCAGCACTTTGGGTGGCCAAAGTGGGTGGGTCACTTGAGGTCAGAAGTTCAAGACCAGCCTGGCTAACATGGTGAAACCCCGTTTCTACTAAAAATATAAAAATTAGCCAGGCATGGTGGCGGGCGCCTGTAATTGCAGCTACTTGGGAGGCTGAGGCAGGAGAAATGCTTGGAACCCAGCAGGCAGAGGCTGCAGTGAGCCAGGATCGCACCACTACACTCCAGCCTGGGCGACAGAGTGAGACTCCATCTCAAAAAAAAAAGAAAAAAGAAACTGATCCTAAGAATGTATGCTTCCTATTTCCCCTGCCCATCAAAGTTCCAACTTAAGATTTGATGTGTTGTTTTCCTCCTCACAGCTTTGTCAATTACCAGCTGTGTGACCCAGAACCAATGCCTCACCTCTCTGAATCTCATTTTCTTCATCCCTAAAAAGGAAAGATGCTCCTATTTGTGAAAGGGGATGATGGAAATAGCATATTTGCTAGCATTAATTGAGTGCTTACTAAGCATCAAAAGCTTCATGTACATTATCTCACTGAAATCTCCCAATAAGCATATATGGCAAGTCCTGCAAATTATCATTTCACAGACAAGCTGCCTGAGATTCAGAGAGGCAGAGACAGGTGCCACTGTCACACAGCCAAAGAGCAGGAAGTGCTGGAACTCAATTTCATGCTTATGTGACACCAATGCAAAATTTAAACGCAAAATTTAACCATTAAACTTTTCTGCTTTCCCGAATATGTAAGGCACCTAACCATTCCTGGCACATAGTAGGTGCTCAACCTATTAGTTCCCTTCCTCCCTCCTTCCTTTTCTCCTAAAATTATATAACATGTAGAAAATTAAAAGTTTACTGAAGTATGTTTATATAGTTTAAGGAAATCATACCACTTAATTTATTTTCTCTATTAACCTCACCACATCTCTGCTTATCATTATGCACTAACCTATTTTACAAATAAGGAACTAGAAGGCAGCAAACAGCTAGGGCAATGTGCCCAGAGTCATATGGAAGTCACTGCTAAAACCAAATAAAAACCTTGATCCTCTTACTTATAAATCAACCTTTATCCTCTCACATGACACAGCCTCCATAATAAAGAACAGATCATTCATTTTTTTATCTGGAAAACTACCAAACGTTATAATTCAGTAAGGGGCCTCATGACCCCACTACCTTGTCAAAGGGAAGAAAGTATATAAAAAATGAGGTTTGCAGGAGCAGACGGTTTTGGTCCATCAACTTTCTCTTGGATTACACCCATTAACCAAAATAAAATAATGTAAAAAAAAAAGTAACAGATCCTCATATCTTTGGAAATTCGAGTTAAACTCACTGATCTTTCAAACTTACATACAATGCACCAACAGTGATCATTTACTCCTGTGGGGCTGCAGAAATGCATGTTGTCAACCAGATCTTTGAAAGAAAAATGTGATACACAACTGGGTCACCTTAAGAAGAATCTAAATCAGCAATGAGCATTTAGTAGCACAAATTCATAGCCCCATAGAATTTTGGAGCTTCAGAAAGGACCTGGCAGGCCACTAAGAATAATCCCTTCATCTGATATGTGAGGAAACCAAGGCTCAGGGCGGTTAAGTGGCTGTCCGAGGTTTCACAAACAGGACAGCAAAAACTAGAAAATAAACCCACTGAGTACTACCTATTACCCTTGTAAATCTTGCTTCTAATGTCCATGCGTACCTTTAGCACTTTCCAGAATTACGCATCTACACAGAAAATACAGGAGAAAGTTAACAGAAAAACTCAGGCTTCAAATCCTGACTGCCATTTACTTGTCAGGTGATCTCAGGCAAGTCCCTTAATTTCTCTGAACTTCACGTTTTTCATCTATAAATGTGGGTCCTAGTAATTTCCACAAGCTTGATGCAATACAAACAAGGGACCTGGCACACAGCCTGTGAGCTCCATGAAGGCATACATCACGTCTATACATCCCCAGCACAGAGCCTGGCACATATACATTCTCGGAACATTCACTGAGCAAATCAATGAACTTGCCAAACAAACTCGAACTATCTGGTTCAAGCAGGAAGACTTGAACCCAGGTCTATCTGCTTCTTAAACATTAAGTTATATTGTTCCCAATTCACATGATTTCAAAGCAGAGTGTTAATTCAGCCTCACAGAGTACTGAGAGCACAACGGAACAAGACAGCTATTTTCTGGCCATGAGGCAGGAAAAAGTTCAGTGTGGGAAGTTTCTGAACTCCCCATGTTGGGATTGATTCTTGTTGTTTGAATGGGTATAGGTACATCATGAGGCTTTGGAATCATCTAAAACTGGGTTTGGGTCCAAGCTGCAGCACAAGTTGTGTGGCTTCCATACAAGCTGTGTGGCCTCAAAGGTATGACTTTACCTCTCCGAGCCTAAACTTCCATGCCTAGGAAAAAACCTACTTTACAGGGATTAAAGACAAATGAGGCAATATACGTAAAGGAATACAGGATAATGCGTGGCACAAAAAGACACTCAACTAGTGTTCAACTCCATTTCCCTTTTAGTTATCTGGAAGCTTCATTCATTATGTCTTTGTTCAAATGTCCCTTTCTTCATGACCCTCCCTATCCATAATAAAAGCCCCAAATCTCTCTATCCCCTTACTTTGCTTTTTTTACTTCATTGTCCTTACTATCACTTGACATTCCATTACGTACTTATTTACTGTGCCTATGCAACTATTAGGGAAGCCCGAGGAAGAGAGGGACTTTTTGTTGTTTCTTTTGTTTACTGCTATATTCCAACAGCTAAGAAAGTATCTGGTATGCCATTAGTGCTTAATAAATACTTGCTGAAAGACTGAACAAGTTAATTCAACACTTATTTGGGCCTTGTTATATATGAGGCACTGTGTAGGAATAGGGATTTAAATATTTTGCTATGGAATCAGAGAAGATGTGTCTCACTTGGACTGCTGCAGGAGCCTCCTGACTGTTTTCCTTGTGTCCACTTTGTCCCCCTACAGTCCATTTGTTAAATCAGCAGCCAGAGAGACCCTCACATAGTCAACATCAGATCAGGTCACTCCCCTGCTTAAATCCCTCCACTGACTTCGCATCACAATGAGAATAAAGCCCAAACACTCACCAGGACTTACAAAGACTAAACCATCAGCCTCTAGTGACTAGTCCAACCTCCTCTCCTACCACTCTCTCCCTGCATTTCGCACACACTGACTTTTTTCTTTCTCAAAAAGGCCAAGGTCTTGTATTTTCTCTTCTTTTTTTAATTTAAAAATGAACATTTTATTTTTATTCACCTAAAACTTTTAAATTCTAAAAAAATTAGCCGGGCGTGGTGGCGGGCGCCTGTAGTACCAGCTACTCAGGAGGCTGAGGCAGGAGAATGGTGTGAATCTGGGAGGTGGAGCTTGCCGTAAGCCAAGATCACGCCACTGCACTCCAGCCTGGGTGACAGAGTGAGACTCCGTCTCAAAAAAAAAAAACTTTAAGTTCTATATATTTATATAACTAACAATATTCTGTTCTCATGCCTAAAATTCTTCAACTAGCAAGGACTAATGTAAAAAAAATAGCTCTTCAAATAATATAAGTTAGAGACTACCAGTGTCAAGGTCTTTTCAGACTTGCGGCCTTTGTGCTTGCTGTTCACTCTGCCCAAAATGCTCTCCCCTAGGCTGGTTCTTGCTCATCATTTAGCTCTCAGCAAAAATGTTACCTCTATAAACAGTCTTCTCAGGCTAAAGGTGCCCCTGCCACCATCATCCTTACCAAGTCACTCCCTATTGGCTCCCACTGCCTTTTCTTGCCTCATGGCATGTCATTATCTGGAATGACTTTATTTATTTGTCCTACCTTCCCAACCAGAATGTAAAGTATGTAAGGACAACAAATTCTCAAGCTTACTACTGCAAACCTCACATCTAGTACATAACAGACACTCAATAAGTGTTTCTGAATTAGTAAAGTGATCTCAAAAGATGTTTGCCAGGGTGAAAGGTGCAGGCAAGGTATGTTATTGGGCTAATGGCATAGTAGGGTGTTTGCTGGTTTCCTTCCAAGGACAACCACTCCATTTCATTAAAATATGTGAATTTCAGCCAAACTTACTGGGGAATGGGCACCCGAATTAGCGTCCCTTCCACTTCTGGGTTCAGATTCATTCCACTTTCTCTTATAGCCTTGACAGCTGCAGCTGTACACTGAAAACCAGATCAAAAGGTAAACAGAATTAGTAAATAATTATTACCAGATGCAAGCCCTCTGTCGATAACTGGCAACCCATCTTGGCAGAACATGGAAACATTTAGTTCTGTTACCAGCAAGATCAGGAAGTTACATTGGTGTAGAGTGCTTTGATCAAGCTGAATAGCAAACTATGTCCACTCCTGGTACCACTGTACTGCAGGAGGAACAAAAAGAAAGAAGAAAAAATAAAAAGAAAACAGCTCTGCTTCTTTGAAAAGATTTCAATGGTTTGAGGCAACACAGATCAAAACCACAATAAATCCTCAAGGGAGGGGGGCTGGTCTCTGCAAAGATTGGTGTACAGACAGATGAAAGATTTCATACGTAAAAAAATCCAGTTGACATTTTACACTCAAAATATACCAGTGCCGATTTGGAATGAGTAAATAAATTTAACTCATTCACATCTGCACTCACACCAAACTCACTCATATTTTGGAATGCAAAATGAATCTCTGCTGGTATATGCTCCCGCAAAGGTAGTGTGGTATACTAGCTTAAAGCATGGGCTTTGGAGTCAGAAAGATCTCAGTTCAAATCCCAGTGCTGGTAACCATGTGACCCTGGGCACATGGTTAACCTCTCTGTACCTATATTTTGTCATCTGAGACCATGTAGCACCTAAACCTCAGAGAGGTAGTGAAATAACATGAGTGATGCATCTTGCTCTGTGCCTGGCACATAGTAATACTCAGGCAAGAGCAGTTATATAAACATATTATATACATTTATTATACAAAGGTAAGAATGCATAAAACCCCCAAACAAGGTGGAGTTGATGTCCTCATGTAGCTGAGGTACTGCTATCCTGCCCAACATCCTTCAGGGGCTTCTCTGAAAGTTTGCTCACTAATGGGCCAGCTGGCACACTGGCACACTCATTTCCCAAAGTGCCTCACCTCACACTCAAGCAACATTATAACTACACCTGGTATGTAATCCTAAAGAATAACAAGAAAGCAGTGTGTAAGAGAGATCCTTTCATTGGCATGACAATGTGGAATTCATGAAAATAAAGCCTCTGATATTTTCAAAAGAATTTTAGGCTTGACCAGAGCCAATCCACATCACTTGGATTCAAAGGCCAATTCCTGCACTTGAGCTCCTCCTAGACTTTCTAATTTAAATGAATGGGGGTTGATACACACCTATTTTACTTTTCTAGGTTCTCTGCCCATAAAACTCATTCATTTCAGTTTTATATAACCTTATTGCTACAGCTACCTGAGGTATTACTATAAGGTCACAAAGACAAACCAGAACTTCCACATACACATGCAGAATCCTCTTGGGAGGCTGTACACAGAATGTAACATATTGTGGCCACTACCTAAAATAGTACATTCTTTTTTTTTTTTTTTTTCTGAGACGGAGTCTCGCTTTGTCGCCCAGGCTGGAGTGCAGTGGCGCGATCTCGGCTCACTGCAAGCTCCGCCTCCCAGGTTCACGCCATTCTCCTGCCTCAGCCCCTGAGTAGCTGGGACTACAGGCGCACACCACCACGCCCGGCTAATTTTTTGTATTTTTAGTAGAGACGGGGTTTCACCGTGTTAGCCAGGATGGTCTCGATCTCCTGACCTCGTGATCCACCCGCCTCGGCCTCCCAAAGTGCCGGGATTACAGGCGTGAGCCACCGCGCCCGCCAGTACATTCTTAAAATAGTACCTCTGGTCACAGATTATCAGAGCTGGAAGGGATCTCTGACGTAACCAAGTCTCTTCATTGTGTGAACAGGAACTTGTAGAATAGGGTCACACCCCCAAGAGTAGACATGGTCTTCCCTGACAGCCCAAGAGAGATGGTTTGAGGACCCCCATCCATCAAACTTCCAGTTACTGGCAGAATTAAGAGGAGATTGAATAGGGATTTAATCCAATGATGCTGCTCTGCCTTTACTTTTTTCTAGATCCCAAGTTCAATGCATTCAATAATTATAACATTAAGGATGTGATTTTTCTTCTCTTTTTTTTCTTTTTTTTTTTTTTGAGACAGGGTCTCACTCTGGCACTCAGGCTGGAGTGCAGTGGCATAATCACGGCTCACTGCAGCCTTGACCTCCCAGGCTCAGGTGACCCTCCACCTCAGCCTCCCAAGTAGCTGCAGGAGGGAAAAAAGAAAGAAGAGCTGGGACTACAGGTCCACACCACCACACCTGGCTAGTTTTTGTATTTTTTATAGAGATGGGGTCCCACCATGTTGCCCAAGCTGGTCTCAAACTCCTGGGCTCAAGCGATCTGCCCACCTCAGCCTCCCAGAGTGCTGGCATTATAAGCATGACCCACCATGCCTGGCCTGATTTTTTCTTAAACAGCCAAATTTAATTTGGAATTATGTTTGCGGTATAAAGGTTATAATCAAGGTAATAAAAGAGCCGAATCAAGAAATAAAATTAATTTTTCTCTGCAAAATAAATGCCATCTTCCTTAAAAAAGAAAAAACAAAAAAAACCCACAGAGTCTAAAGCTAACAATAAAGAGAGAATCTCCACTATGAAGGGGTAATCCAATCTCAAGTCTTTCAATCCTCTACTATAGCTTCTCATGAATGACTGATAATCATTACTATAATACCCCATCACCACTACCTGTCTTTCACAAGCTGACCCAAGTATTTCCATACAACCTTCCCCTACAGGCACGAGGGCACCGACTACTGACACCAAGCTGGGCAGGAATTATGCCTCAATATTTACATCTTCCCAGTAAAAGTTAGAGTGCCAGGTACATGGTAAATGCTCAGTAAAAGCTTGTTGATTGAATATATTAGTGATTTGGTTCAGATCTATTAGAAAAACTCATTTCCTTTACCTCATCTATATAACGGCTCAAAATCTTATTTTATACTTCAACTTTTCTGTGTCTTTTCATATTCAGAAAAATCGTGATTCAAAGTTTTATTTTACAAAGAAAACTACTGAATTCTACATATTTTTTCCTTTGACATGGTACGACACAGAACCTCAGGGAATTAGTCATGTTCTCCTATGACATCTGAAAAACTCTTTAGTTCAGACTAAGGCATACGTTCCTATAGACTTTCCATCTCTTATGTGTCATCCCTTCAAGGAAAGGATGCTCCACAGTATCATAGGGCAAACAGGTTGCTCTCAAATGATGACATAACTAACTGGTTGTGGCTGCTTGCAGTAGTGTATTGAGAAAGATCACAAATCTCATCTGGGGTCAGGCAGAGAAGAGTGATGTGATCAATCAGTAGTGTCTGCCTTTGTTATTCTAAGCTAATCTGTGCTAAGTAACAACAACAACAACAACAAAAATAGGACTTTTGTAGACAGGTGAACAAGTCCTTGAGAATTTGGATTCAAGTCAACTCTGCTAGTGCCGTATCAATTACTGACCTTCCATTTTCTTCATATCCCAATGTAAAGTCAAGTCTAAGAAAGTAGACACATAGTCTGTCTTAATAATCAGTGAATTCCCAGCACCTCAAATAGAAACCAATCACTTGTAAGGACTCAAAAAATATGTGCTGAATTAATGAATGAATGGTGAAAGGAGCATAGGCTTTTTCATGTCCAACAGAGATATGTTCAAATCCTGGCTCTGTCACAACAGTGTGAACCTAGTGGAGATATTTTACTTCTTTGAGTCTCAGTTTCCTCATCGATAAAATGAATAAATAATGCCTAATTTTACAGAGTACCTGTATTGATCATATGGAACAAAATATGAGAAAGAGACTAGTGACAAAGGAGACAATCAATACACATTCATTTTCTTCCTTCCACAAGAGCAATAATGGAGCCTGCAGAGTTGTGTGTGGTTTTTTTTTATTTTTTATTTTTTTCATTTGCCTTGTTTTATTCAAATCATGCTGTGGTTTTTATTCCCTTCTTTTCTTTCCCATCATTAACTCTAGCTGCAGGCAAGTTTATGGAAGGCAGCAACTATGTGTATCATTTATCAAGCAGGACACATGTTAAACAAATGCAACACAGTTTTCTGTCTTTAATGCATTCAAAACGATTATGCATGTAAATCTGCACCGTGTCACTACAGCGTGACACGGAAATGCTCGGGTTTGGAAAGAAAGCCAACTGTATGTGAAACAGAAAGAAATTACATAAACACAGAGAGGATTAGCTCAGCATTTTAAAGCTATGAACCTGGGTACTCTATGGTCAGCTTCTAAGCTGGAGGAAGGAAATTTTTAGTTAGAGCTATTTGTTTAGTATGTACAACAGATGAGATAAAGGAATTCAAAAGACAATGTAACTCACACTTCCTCATTCTGTCCCTGTAAATGAACCTCTCTACTGATATACTTGTAAGGATTTTTCCAAAACCCATGGAATTCTAACTTGAACAAATGGCAAAGATGTCTGAGTTGAAAAATGAAGATATACCCCAACTTCCTAAGAAAAAATTAAGCTGTTAATATCTCCTCCTGCTTCATAAGATGCTCTGGTGGCCAATCAGGTGCTTCTTCTGTGAATGCCATTTTCTATTTAATAAAAGAAGTGGCTGGCTCTGAAAAAGCAATCTGCCTGATGAGGTCTTCAAGCTGTGTAATTAGAAGGCTATTCCCTAAATTGGCCCGCAGTGCCTATGGGATTAGATGAACAAGGAGGAGAGGCCTCAGTGGTTCAGAGGGGGCCAGAAAGAGAAAGAGTTGACAGCTCCCTTTTCATCAATTTCTCTGTTCCTCAGTAACACCAGGAATGAGTGCCTCCCTTTTATCAACCTAATAACAGGTATTCTATCCATTCAAGGAAAATTTACCAAATGATTCCATGTGCCAGGCACTGTGTTTGGTGCTGGACACATGAGCAAATTAGACATTCCTACATTCCAAGTTTACACTCTAGTAAAAGTGAGATGACAAATAAATGCGTACACAAATGTATACTAGTAATAAGTACAATAAAGAAAAAGAATTGTGCTGTATAGGAGAACCTAGTGTGGAGGAATAATTCCGATTGGAGAGGTCAGGAACGGCTTCTCTAAGAAGTGACATTTAAGCCATGATCCAAAATATAAGTAGCAGTTAGTCATGCAACAGCGTTCCACGCAATGGGAACAGGATATGCAAAGGCTCTAAGGATGTAAAGAGTTTGGTGTGTTTGAGGAACTGAAAGACCAGTGTGGCTAAAGCACTGCACAAGGATGACAGTGGCACAAGACTGGCAAAACTGAAAAGACAGAGGCCAGATCAAGCAAAGCCATCTAGACCACAGTGAGGATTCTGGACTTTTTCTTAAAGATTGCTGGGAGCCACCAATAAATGCAAAGCATGGGAATGACAAATGACAAAATCTTTTATATATACATATTTTTACTTATTTATTTAATATACAAGATCTTGCTCTGTCACCCAGGCTGCAGTGCAGTGGCATGATCATAGCTCACTGCAGCCTCAAACTCCTGGACTCAAGTGATCCCCCCACTGCAGCCTCCTGAGTAGCTAGGACTACAGGCCAACACACCTCACTAATTTTTTTATTTTTGAAATTTTTGTAGAGCCAGGGTTTCACTATGTTGCCCAGGCTGGTCTTGAACTCCTGGCTTCAAGTGATCCTCTAACCTTAGCCTTCCGAAGTGCTGGGATTACAGATGTGAGCCACCATGCCTGGCACAATATATATTTTTCAAAAACTCATTCTGGTTGGAGAATGGAGTAGGGGAGTGGTAACAGCACCCTCACAGGTGTGCCTGGCCCATTAGCTATCAGAGCCCCTTGATTTGAAACTGTGTGTTCACAGTAAGGGCGTTCCCTGTCTCCTACCTCTAGTCTAGTTTGTCAAATCCAACAGGTCCAACGTTGGTCTATGACTTTGGAATACAACTACTGAAACAGACAATAAAAACAGGAGGATTCCTTCACCTCATATTAGCAGATGAGGAAATGGAGGCCCAGAGAGTGAAGCAACTTGCCCAAGGTCAAACAGCCAGTTGGTGGTAGAGATGGCACCCGATTCCAGGTACTCTAGGACTCCTAATCCAGGCCAATTCCTAGTGGACCAATAACAAAAAGGCCAATTACCTTCCTCAACTATACTTAAAATCCTAAAGCCTCAACGATGCAACTAATACAACCCACCTTCCAGTTATGGAAGCAGAGTGTTCCATGCAATATTCTGCAATGGTCAGTCTAGTATAAAAGGACTTCCTGGAGGGTCTACTCCAAATACTAATGCAGAAGTCACAAATTGGTGGCCCTCAGGCCACATTTGGCCCATTAAAATATGGTTTTATTTGCCTCATAGTCTTAAAAAAAAATGGAATTAGTCATCAATATTTAAAGAATAAAGATGTGACATTAAAATGTGTGTTACTAGCTTCTTCTAGAAATAAAAATCGTAGTATCAAGTAACACTGATTACCAGGCCTACATTCTGCCTGGCAATGATCAGCAGGAGCTGGGCAGAGGCATTCCACTCAGACAAGGCACAGGCTCTCCAGGTCACCAGAACCTTTCCACGCTGGCCAAACACCAATCACTGCATCTCCAGTATTGTTTTTCTTAGATGGGACCCGTTTGGGTATTCAAACAACTTACCTAGCCTCTGTAGCATTTATGTTTAACAGAAAAGGAATCTGGCAACAGGAAAAGAGCTTTGCCTTATCCTTAAGTTCTCTTTATTATGTCTTCTCTCTTGTTTCATTCTAAGCTGAAGGAACACTTACTTCATCCTGATATGACCCAGTCTCCTCCATTCCAAAAGAGACCATGGAGAGAGATTTTAGCAAGGCCACCTTACCTCTGGGAAGCTGGCCATATTCACCAAAATCAGCTGTGGCGACTTCATGGAGATCTGGCCAATCTGGTTTAAAGCAAGTTTCCCATCAGCAGTTACCACAGCAATCTTGTCAAGGGATCCTAGAAGAAAAATTATACAGTTTTAGAATTCCAAAGAACCTTAGTAGCCCCAAATCTAAGTCTCTATCTAATTCCGATTCAGGCTGGATGCAGTGGCTCATGCCTATTATCCCAGAGCTTTGGGTGGGTGAAGTGGGAGGAATGCTTGAGGGCAGTAGTTTGAGACCAACCTGGGCAAAACAGCAAGACCACATCTCTACAAAAATATTTTTTTAATTAGCAGGCATGGTGGTGTGTGCCTGGAAGACGAGCTACTCAGCAATGAGGCTGAGGTGGGAGGACTACTTGAACCCAAGAGGTAGAGGTTACAGTGAGCTGTACTGGCTACTGCACTCTACCATGAGCAACAGAGTGAGATCTTGTCTCAAAACAATAATAATAATTCAGATTCAACAAACATTTAGGGATTCTTACCATTGTGACAAGAGTGTACAAGGGGCTTTCACAGGAACAGCAGTATTCTGTGATAGAAAAAGCTTGAAATGTTGACAGAACTAGGTTGGAATTCCTCACCAGCAACTAGGGTGGCCAACCATCCTGGTTTGCCTGGAGCTGAAGAATTTTCTGTGACAGGGTTTTTTGAACTAAAACTGGAAACAGCTGATCACCCTCACAAGCAACTCTGCCATTTACTTGCTATGAAACCTCGGGTGAGTTACTTATCTTCTCTGTGCCTTGGTTTCCAACTCAGTCAAAAAATAACTACCTTAGAGGATTCGAGTGAGGACTGCAGCTAAAGGAGTCTAACTAAATATAAACAATGGAGTATACAATAAACACCAAAAAATATGCATTAAAGTTGGTACCTCTTATTATACCTTTTAGTCCTTACAACAACCCTGTAACACTGCATTATTACCCCCACTTTACAGATGAGAAAGTAAGACTTGGGAAGAATAAACAGGCCAAGATCACAGGGGTGACAAAAGGAAAAACAAGCGCCAAGACCCAAACTCAGGTATGCTTAATTCTGATTTCAATCAAGGCTCTTTCCCTTACAAATGGAACTCAAACCCAGCTGTACATCAGAATCACCAGGGAGCTTTGAAAATTAGATTCCTGGGCCCCACCCCAAAGAGATCCTGATTCTGTAGAGGCTTCAGAGCCTGTGATTTGGGGAAGCCTGTAATTTTTTTTTTAGGTTCACCACATGATTCTGACACAGCCAGATTTGGAACCATTTGCTTATACGACCCTTCACTGTGGTACTTAGATCCCCTTTAGAAACTAGCTCATTAAACAAAACAACAACAACAACAAAACTATTAACATTTTCCTGTTATCCTGGATATAATCTTTGTCTGCATCTAAATTCTGGAAAACCCTGGGAAAAATTTTCAAAAATGGCAAGAAGGCAAGCAATAAAGCTACAGTTACAGATGGAAAAGAGGCATTATTCAAACTCCCTTATTTCCTATGCAAATGAGAACTAGAAGAAAAACCTTACCATTCACAGTAGGAACCACTCAAGGATGGCTCATTCTGAGACACAAAGAGAAAAGTGGGGAAAAGGAGTCTTATAAACAAATTGGAGTTGTCCTGGCAATATGTTGTTAGAATAACGCAGTACCATACTGTGGCCCAAAGATCTGATTTGAGATACTCAACCAGATTCAATGCCATCATGAGACAGAAGGTTGCTGACATCAGTGGCTTCAACCTGGAAAAGTCCAGGAGGTATAATGGTAAAAGTCTTTGTTACTCTGAAGACCAATGACCTGAGTTCAAATACCAACTCTGCCACTTTCTGATTGTGTGACCATGGGTAGATTCCTTCAGCCTTCTTGGCCTCTGTTTCCTGATTTCTAAATGGGACATAAAAACTGTACTTACATCTCGCCGGGCACAGTGGCTAACGCCTATAATCCCAGCATTTTGGGAGGCTGAGGTGGGCGGATCATGAGGTCAGGAGTTTGAGACCAGCCTGGCCAACACAGTGAAACCCCGTCTCTACTAAAAATACAAAAAATTAGCTGGGCATGGTGGCAGGCGCCTGAAATCCCAGCTAGTTGGGAAGATGAGGCAGGAGAATCACTTGAACCCGGGAGAAGAAGGTTGCAGTGAGCAGAGATCACGCCATTGCACTCCAGCCCAGGAGACAGTACGAGACTCTGATTCAAAAAAAAAAAAAACTGTACTTACATTTCATAGGGTTTTTATGAAGATTAAATGACAGAACGTAGGAAAAGCACTTAAACTGTGTCTCAGTAAATGCTATTATTACTTCTTGACATTCTGTGTTTTAATTTCTCTAATATACTCTAATATTCTCTAATTAAACTCTGTTCTGAATTGCTTCAGGACCCTTGCATATATTTTTCCTTCTACTGCAAACACTCTTCTCTGTTCAGATAAATTCTGCTCATTCCTTAACAGTCAGATACAGTGGCATCTAATCTCAGCAATCTTGTCTCACCTCCTAGGCTGGATTACAAACCCCTTTTATAAGCCCCCAGCATCCGAGCACATTTCCATAATAATGACAATTCTCTATATTTACTGAAAACTTCCTATGAGCAAGACATCATGATAAATGCTTTCTATAATGTATTTGCTGTTAATATCATATTAACTCTATGAGATAGTTATTATTTCTATCTTACAGACAAGAAAACTGAGGCATACAGAGTAACTTGCCCAAGATGACAACAGCTCTTAATGGAGCCTGAATTCAAACCCGGGTCTGACCAACTCCAAAGTCATTTGGTCTTCACCACTCAGCTTTGCTGTATGGTTTTATACATATTGGTTTACTTGTTTGACCCTTCACATCAGGTTCTAGGCTCCTGGAAGGTGGGGACAATATATTTTCTCTCTGTATCAACAGCACATATTTTTTTTTTTTTTTTTTGAGACGGAGTCTCGCTCTGCCGCCCAGGCTGGAGTGCAGTGGCCCGATCTCAGCTCACTGCAAGCTCCGCCTCCCGGGTTCCCGCCATTCTCCTGCCTCAGCCTCCCGAGTAGCTGGGACTACAGGCGCCGCCACCTCGCCCGGCTAGTTTTTTTGTATTTCTTAGTAGAGACGGGGTTTCACCGTGTTAGCCAGGATGGTCTCGATCTCCTGACCTCGTGATCCACCCGTCTCGGCCTCCCAAAGTGCTGGGATTACAGGCTTGAGCCACCGCGCCCGGCTCAACAGCACATATTAATCAGCACAGAAAACGTGTTCAATAATGCTTTGATGATAAATGAAGGTATGCATGGATGGATGAAAGGGAAGAGGACAACAATGAATAAACAAATAAACCTGTATCTAGACAACTGTTAAAAGGTGTCAGTTATCTGGGAGATAGAAATTGCTGTGAGAAAGAGGAAAATGTAGGGGGGTACCCGTTGGTTCAAACAGTAATGAAAGATAAAATGGAAGAATCTGACAAAAGAGACTAGCTAAATTTAGTCTGTTTCATCCAGTCTCTTCATGGCCCAAAGTTCTATATAGAACATTATACAAACATAATCCTGAAGAGAAAGGAAAGAGGAAATACCAACAGGAGGCCTTTTGAAATGGATCTTAATTCAGTCTTCCTGATTTGCCATAAGATCCTTTGCCACAGAAGTCCCCACACAGACTTTTCAGAATGCAATTGTGGTGGTTACCATTCCTAAATCCATATCGACATAATGCATCAAATCCTTTTCCCTCAATCTGTCCCCAGCGAGAATCTCCCTCAGCCTCATTCCTGCCCCTCATTTTCTCAGAGGTTAACATTTAACAAATTACACTCCCAACCTCTTTCCAGGCCCATCATCTTTTTAAGTTCAACAAGAGTGGAGCTTGCTGGCTAATTTTAAGTATCACATTTCTCCCTGAGCTCCTCTCAAACCGCTCTCTGGTTTCGGCTGCAGAATGTTAACAGGCCAGAAAGCACAGGGGAGACAGAGCACTTTATCAGTTTCATACCTAAAATAATAAGCAAGTTTAAAATAAACAGTTGAGAGAGATTGAATGGCACGCTCTACTGTCAGCAAAGGCAGAAATGCCCCAGCCCAAAGGTTGACAAATGACGGGAATGGTCTTCTAGTTTCACACTGGATCTCATCTCTGAACTCGGTATGTTTCTGATAGTGTTTATAAGTGGAGCTGTATTTTTCACTTGGTTTTCTTAAGAGCGAACTATTTCTAGTTTTCTTATGAACTACACTAATCAAGACGTGAGTACAAGCAGCCCAAGCTCCCACAGGTACCTTCAGAGGGGGGTCCCAGGTTTGACTTTAGGATGATGACAATTTGCAAAAGGCTAATTTAACAGCAATTGGATTTTTCCTGCCTGCTTGAACCATCAGCTGACAACTCACTTCTCCATCACATCTGCAAACAGTTCGCCTAGACAGTTCTGACATTTCCCACTTAGAAAAGCCCCTTTCAGGAAGTTATTAACCCAAACGGAATATTCCTGGTCAAGCTCAGGGGTACAGAAATGCCTCACGTGGGCAGGTCTGTATCCATTTGGTTCCCAGTAAGGGATAAGAACTGCCAAACAGGACAAATTGGAAAAATCGGACCAAAGACGTCAGTTACTATGATACTACCTAGATGTGTTTATAGTACATTCAAAATAAAAATCTCACTTTTTTGAGAGTATAATTCCATGATAGCAAAGACAATACCTATTTTTGTTCACTACTATGCACTAGCACAATGCCTAGTTCCACAGTAGACAAAAATTTCCTGCATGGATAAATAAACGTAGTGTTAACTACGCGCCAGGCACTGTGCTAGAACCATAATATATGTTACCTCATTTATTTTAACTCTCACCCCAAAGCTGTAAGTTAAGAATCAAACAAGAAAACAGAGGACCAGGAAACTAAAGTAACTGCCCATGGCCACCAGTTAGTAAGTGGTAAAGCTGGGACTAAAACTCAACTCTGCCAAACTCATGCTCTTTCCATTACATCCCTCCCCAGAACACTGGTTCAGTCACTAACCTGGTGAGGTCCTTATATTGAGAGTCTTATTGAAATTATCCTTGAGTGCTTCTATCACAGACTTCATTTCTTCATTCACCTCTTCCAAGTTGATTATATCCTCAACCAAGGCAGCATTAATATTCAATCTGGTTTGGGAGTGTCCTTTCCCTTTGGCTAAAAAGTGAACATTCAGTGAATAAAACAGCAGCAGCATAAACAGAGCCAATAAGCAATTGGTGAAGAAGTGCCTACTATGTACAGGGAAAAATGTCAAGTGTTAGAAAATTATAAAACATTATCACTCCACTAAAAAAGAGCCTATATTAACTGAGTGTCAACTGTGCTAAACACCTTCTCAGATATTAGTGAGGAGACAGACTTTATAATCAGACACCCCAGGTTAAAAGTCTGGTTATAATGCATACTAGCTTTATGACCTTGGGCAAGTTACCTTTCTGAGTATCAAGTTCCCTACCTATAAAAGAATAATAACATCTATATTGCAAGGTTGCTACAAGGATACAAATTAAGTCATTCAAACTCCTAAAAGAACACTATTCACATGGCAGGGAATCCATAACTAAATTAATCTCTTACTTTTCAGAAAAGTAAACAGAAGATGAGAAAACCAAAGCTACTTGCCTAATGTCACAGGTCAGGAAATGGAAAAGTCAAGATCTGGTTCCAGATCTGCCTAATTTTAAACCCATGAACTTTCTACTAGCCCATCTCCACAAAATCTAATTAGAGAGGCAGGAAATACATTAATTCATTAAAAAATGAACACTAAGACAAGAATACGCACATATCTGATGGCTGGTACAGAGTACAGACAAAAGGAACAACAGTAGTTTACAGACATTAAACACTACCAATGGTAGAGACAATGGCTTATATTAGAAAATCAACAGCATTGGGAGCTGAATATAATTTCATTTTATGTCTAAATCATCCTAGTGATTTTTCATATACATTCTATGTGTATACATAGGTAATTTCTGTGAATGATGCAAATATTCTCGCATTTCTTTTATAGGGGATGGGGAAGGAGAAAAATAAAATTTTAAATAATATTTACAGTTTATTCATTAAACATTCAACAAACATTTATTGAGATTCATTCAATAAATTCTGTTGAACATCTACAGTGAGCTCAATCCTGCACTATTTGTGTAGCATATTATAACTTGCAATGCAATTTCAAGTACATTCTCCTCCTTGCTATCCAAGATTGCTCTCTGAGGTAGGAAGAATAGAGATTAGTATTGCCCTCATTGCACAGATGAGAAATCTGAGGCACAAGTCATTTGAATGTTTTGCCCAAAGTAAACAACTGGTAAGCAACAGAGTGATTTTTTAAAACATTTATTTGCCCGTGTTACCATTATGATTTGAAACCAATGGCTTAGGTTTTTTGGGTTTTTTTTCCAGAACTGATAGAAGATGTGGGGCTTGGCACGGTGGCTCACGCCTATAATCCAGCACTTTGCGGGGCCGAGGCGGGCGGATCGCGAGGTCAGGAGTTCAAGACAAGCCTGACCAACATGGTGAAACCCCATCTTTACTAAAAATACAAAAATTAGCCGGGCGTGGTGGCATGTGCCTGTAATCCCAGCTACTCAGGAGGCTGAGGCAGGAGAATCGCTTGAACTTGGGAGGTGGAGGTTCAGTGAGCCGAGATCGCACCACTGTATTCGCCTGGCGGCAGATAAAAAAAAAAAAAAAAAAAAAAAAAATGTGATCTCGATTGAGAAACACAAGTTTCAAATGGGACAATAAAAGTAAATTCACACCTAGACATGTTGTGACTGCAGAAAACAAAGGACAAAGAGATCTTTATAAAAGCCCAAGAGAAAAGACAAATTATCCATGAAGGATTAAAATTTAGAATACTTTCCAAGAGCAACAACAGAAGCCAGAAACAATGGAAATAATATCTTCAACTTTAAAGTTTTTTTTTTTTTTTTTTTTTTTTTTTTGAGACGGAGTCGGGCTCTGTCCCCCAGGCCCCCCCGCAATGGCGCAATCTCGGCTCACTGCAAGCTCCGCCTCCTGGGTTCACGTCATTCCCCCCCACCCTCAGCTTCCGGAGTAGGTGGGACTACAGGCGATGGCCACCACACCTGGCTAATTTTTTAGTAGAGAAGGGGTTTCACTGTGTTAGCCAAGATAGTCTCGATCTCCTGACCTCGTGATCCGCCCGCCTCGGCCTCCCAAAGTCCTGTGATTGTAGGTGTGAGCCACCACACCCAGCCAACTTTAAACTTTTAGAACCAAATATGTACATTAAAAATTTAAATATATGTCTGTCAATATTGGAATAGTAATATTTATGAATGAAATACTATGCAACCATGAGAAAGAATGAACTACACACAAAAATTTAAATGAGTCTCACAAATCTGATGTTGAACACAGAGGCCAGACACAAGAATACAAAACTGTACAGTACAAAGGCCAGATATGAGAATATAAACTGAACAGTAAAAAAACAGAGAAAACTAATTCATGCTACTAGAAGTCAGAATAACAGTTATCTGCAAAGGGTCGAGGGTAGTACTTACTAGAAAGAAGCACAAAGGGGACTTCTGACATGCTAGGAATGTTCTGTTTTTTGATCTGGATGCTGATACATAAGTAATTTCAGCTTGTGAAATTTATGATAGCTGTACTTTCCTAGAGTGCTTTTTTATTTCCATAAAAAGGTTAAAGAAATCAGTTAAGGGTACCCATCAAAACAAGAATTAAAAGTATATCTTCCAAATCAGCAGAATTTAAAAAAGAGAGAGAGAGGAATAGAGAAATTTAATCTAATAGGAAAAGAAGAAAAAAGGATTTAAAAAGGTGTATTTCAAAATAGCTAAAAGAACTTAAATGTTCCCAATACATAAAAATGATAAAAGCCTGAGATGCTGGATACCCCATATACGCTAACTTAATCATTTATGCATGTAACAAAATATCACACATACCCCATAAGTATATACAAATACGTATCAATAAAAAATTGTTTAAATATGCATTAAAAAAAAAAAAGAAAAAAGAAAAAAAAGGAAAAAACACGATATAAGGAAAGTACAAAATAAGGCCGGGCATGGTGGCTCATGCCTGTAATCCTAGCACTTTGGGAGGCCAAGGTGGGAGGATCACCTGAGGCCAGGAGTTCGAGATCAGCCTAGCCAACAAGGTGAAACACCATCTCTACTAAAAATACAAAAAATTAGCTGGGCATGGTGGCACATGCCTGTAGTCTCAGCTACTTGGGAGGCTGAGGCACAAGCATCACCTGCAACTGAGAGGCAGAGGTTGCGGTGGGCCGAGACTGCACCACTGCATTCCAGCCTGGGCGACAGAGTGAGACTGTCTCAAAAAAAAAGAAAGTACAAAATAAAAAAACACAAATATGCAGTGACGACAATAAATATAAATGGATCAAAATGACCAGTTAAAAGTGAGAGATCAGTAAGATTTTTAAAAATCTAGTTGAATATAACACGACAGTTTAAAAAAATTATACAAGATCACAGAAAGTTTGATGGATAGGGATGGAAAAATTCTAAGCCTGGCAAACATTAAGCAAAAGAAGGCTGGTGTAGCCACATTATCATCAAACAAAAAAGATTTTAAGACAAAATTCACTACTGGAAATCATGAGGACAACTTCAAAATGATAACAGAAAAAATTCACCCGAAAGATATATAACATATCTAAGATTAAATATATCAATTAGATAGCCTCAAAATTAATAGAATTAAAAGAAGAAACTGGCTGGGTGCAGTAGCTTACACTTGTAATCCCAGCACTTTGTGGGGCTGAGGTGGGCAGATTGCTTGATCCCAGCAGTTCAAGACCAGGCTGGGAAACATTGCAAAATCCAGTCCCTACAAAAAATACCAAAATTGCCCAGGCATGGCAGTGTGTGCCTGTAGTCCCAGCTACTTGGGAGGCTGAGGTGGGAGAATCAGTTGAGCCCAGAAGATTGAGGTTGCAGTGGGCTGTGATTATACCACTGCACTCCAGCCTGGGCAAGACCCTGTCTCAAATAAAAAACAACAAAAAAGGAGAAAATGATCAATCTACAAGCATACCAGGAGAGTTCAATATACCTTCCTTGATAACTGATAATTGAGCAAATAAAAAAACAGAAAAGTTGATCAACAAAATTAGTCAATTTGATCTAATACAATACACCCAACAATAAGAGAATATACAGTATTCTCAAGCACACTTGGACCTTCTATGAAACAACCATGTTTTACACACAAATCAAATCTCAACAAAGACAAAATAATCTATATCATATAGAATATGTTCTCTCAACAGAGTAGAATTAAGCTAACCCCAAAACAACCATTTGTTTGAACAATTTTAAACACTTCTTAATAAACACTCATGGACTATACAGAAATGCATAATGGAAATGTTTAAATATTGAGAAATGACCATAATAAAAATACTGAATATCAAAAACTCAAGTCAGGCACGATGGCTGACACCTGTGATCCCAGCACTCCGGAAGGCCAAGGCGAGAGGATCACTTGAGCCCAGGAGTTCAAGGTTACAGTGAGCTATGACTGTGCCACTGCACTCCAGCCTAGGCAACAAAGCAAGATCTTGTCTCTAAAATAAATAAGTAAATAACTTCATAGGAAGCATTTAAAGTTGTATTTAGACAGAAACTTCTAACCTTAATACTTTAAAAACAAAACAAAACAAAACAGGCTGGGCGTGGTGATTCATGCCTATAATTAAAGCACTTTGGGGGCCAAAGCAAGCGGAAAAAAAAAGGTCAAAAGTTTGAGACCAGCCTGGCCAACATGGTGAAACCCCATCTCTACTAAAAAAAAAGAAAATTTCAAAAATTAGCTGGGCGTGGTGGCGGGTGCCTATAGTCCCAGCTACTCGGAAGGCTGACGCAGGAGAATCGCTTGAACCCAGGAGGACGAGGCTGCAGTGAGCCAAGATCATGCCATTGCACTCCAGCCTGGGTGACAGAGGGAGACTGCAACTCAAAAAACAATAAAAAATAAAAATAAAGAAGAAAGTATTATTCACAGTGGTAAGATATGAAAACAACCAAAGTGTCTGTGGATAGAGAAATAATGTGGGTGCATGTATGTGGGGGTGTGTGTGTATAAAGTGGCATATTACTCAACCTTAAAAAAGGAGACCT